AGAGAAAACTCCATGTGGTATTCTCTTACAACTTGTGGGTATAACTTTTCAAGTTTGTTCATCTCTGGAAAGTGGGAAACAAACAAACAAGTCGCTAGAGATTTGTTCAGTATTTCCTCACTCACTGCCCATGCAACAGACACACCATCCAGCACGCTCGTCCCTCTCCCTAATTCGTCAACCAAAATCAAAGAACTGTCGTTTGTCTCATGAAGTATTTCGTTGATTTCCTTCATTTCCTTCATAAACGAAGATTGGTTTGTTTCCACACTGTCGTCGATTGAAAGTCTAGACATAATTTTGGACAAAGGACGAAGAGTAACGGCTTCAGCAGGCACAAAACTGCCCATATGCGCCATTATTTCCAGTAGAGCTACTTGTCTTATGTATGTTGACTTACCTCCCATATTTGGCCCGTTGATCAAACAAAACCTTGAGGTGTCGTCGATGAATGTGTCGTTTGGTACAAATTTTGGCAGCGTGGTCGCTAATACAGGATGCTTTCCTTGTTTGATAATAATCGAGCGGTTGTTGTTAAAAATTGGTCTACACATCAGGTCGTGAGATGAAGCGTACGTCACAAAACATATGAGCATATCGAGAAGCCCAACCACCTCACTTAACTTGTTGAGTGAAGGTATATTCTTCTTGAATGCCTCGGCGTTCCTCGCTAATACGTTGATTGATAATTGTACTATCTCTTCTTTGGTTGACCTGAACTTGTTTGAGAGCGAAAGGAGCTCCGGCGTATTCACTGAGTACTTGGTATTGGACAGTTTTACAACGCGGCAGCAGTTCTCGGGGATTTTCTCCTGTTCTCCATTAAAAACAAACAAAAACCCGTTTTTGGTGGTTTTAATGGAAAGGCCGGATTGTGCTGCTTTCTGAGCGATGTCGTCGACCTCTTGTAAGGTTTCGGCAAGTATTTGCCTCGACACATCAAGATACGGACTGATGTTTTGTTTGACCAAAAAACAAATGTTATTCCGAGATTGCTTGGAAAATGCGGCACTCTCATTAATAAGTGCATCCAAAGACTCCTTCATCTCACCAAATGCAACATCCTCCAAAACGATTTTCATTGCCCCGAAAATAAGTGGCGCGTTCTTCAGACCTGCAATTGAGTCTTTGAACTGTGGAATATAAGCAAGGAGCTTGTACAAGTTGAAGAAGTTTTTGAGTATGGACTGGAGAGTTGACTGTTTGAGACCATCCGTTTTTGTCAATTGAATAATTGCAGTGATGATTTTATCGAGGTCTGGCAATTGTTTCAAATGTTCCAAACACTTGTAGTAATCCTCTGAATTTCTCAAAAAGTACTCGATGGTATTTTGCCGATCTCTGATTGTCTCAACATCACTGGGCGGTTGCAAAAGGTTGTCAATCAACTCTTTCCTCCCCACATTAGTAATGGTCGAATTCATCACCTCAAACAAAGACCCGTTCGTTTTTTCGTCAATGTTGTTTGTTATTAGTTCCAACTGTTGTGCTGTCTGTACGTCGATTGTCACCTTGTTTGTTAATGGGACGAATTTTCCGTTAATTACCCCGGGCTGTATGACGAAAGCTGTTTTCTCCATTTTCTGGACAAGTGCGTTGAACGCAGCCGCACATAAATAGTGTGACTCCAAGTTTTTTCTGATTATATTTGAAGACCCACTCATAAATAATGTTTCTGAGAGAGTCACGCCGTCGTTTTCATTGAACGCGCTTCGCGGAAAGAATGTTACTTTTTTATTCTCCTTAAGAAGCAGCTGTGTCAGTTCCGACTTTTCTTGTGTTTTCGAAACAATGATCTGTGACGGCGACTTGATATTAACCAATATGAGGGTTTGCACATAAGTGTTAGTGTCCAAATATTGTGAGAGCGATATATTATTGGTCCCGCACTCGAACCAACACACACCTATCTCCTTTCCCTTTGTCTCGCAAAGCGCCATGACGACCTCTCTATCGAACTTCTCCATCGGGGATTTTCTCATTTGAGTTTTCTCCTCCATTTTCGTCCCGAAGTGTCTTCTCGTTCCTCCCCTCGCTCATTTCCTAATAAAAAAAATTTAAGATTTTTTAATAACATTTATACAATAACAAAAGGAATAACACAATGAATAACAAAAAATGGTCTCTGTGTTGAACGAAATGATTCTTTTCACGCCGTTTCACACCTCCCTCACAATCCAATTTTGTATCATCTCATCTTCGCTGACACTCTGCACAACTTTTATAGGTTTTTGGCAAATCGGGCATCTATCCGACCTCACAAACCAGTCAGTGATACAATTTTTATGGAATTTGTGGTTACACGACAAGACAACTGCGTCTTGTGTTTGTGTCTGGCATATCACGCAGATTTCTGGTTCAGCGAGTTTTGTTTCCCTTAAGCTCGAGACTCTCCAAATAGCGGGAAGAGCTGTTAACGATTGAATGAATTTGATGAAAGTTAAGAAACACGGCGGAATCGAGTGGATGAGGAAGATGTCCTTTCGGATGAAAAAGAAATAACACCGTAATACGTGAACAGCCATTAAAAGAGTATTTGAGCATACTTCGTGAATAGCCAGTAAGTGGAGTTCTTTACTCTGTGGGATGAAAAATGATTGAAAAAGTAGTGGAAGAGCAAAACTTGTGTGTACAGCGGATTCTAATAAAGAGAACCAAAGAGCATTTGCAAGACCAGAGACCACGTGGGATGACGAGTAGAGGAGAGAGACAATACAAATGTCGAGTAAAAGTACTAAGTAAAATAAGCGAACCCTATGACGAATCGGTAGTTTTGTTCTGACGGAATTGCGTAACTTGATTGTGATAATAATGTCCAGTACTCGTACAAACGAGATGACAAGCACGGTGAGTATATTTACTCTTAATGAAGTGTTGGATATTTGAGTGATTAAATACACATCCCATATTATAGTACTAAAAGAGCTCGACAACTTCGCGTATTCAGTAATGCTGATTGGTGGTATTAATAAAAAGAAAAGGCGTAAGAGAAGGAGGAGAATCGACACAAGCAACCCAAACATCTCGAGGGATGGTTCTAATGTGTACCCAATTGTGTGATGTGTGTATATCAGTTGAATGGAAAATATAGAAATAAATAACACACAGACACCAGTTTTAAACATTAATTTGGTGTTTTTTGTTCAGCAAATTTTTAGTTATAAATTATACTATTTTATATTAGTTAATGTGCTAACAATTAATTATATTAATTATAGTTTTTTTTTAATTACTACTTTGATAATGAAAAAAATGTTATATTTGTTATGTTATTCGAAATTTAAGAAATTATTCAGTAACTTAATACAACTTATTTTATATTTGTTGTTGGCATATTATAATAAATAATACATTGATCCGCATATATAGATAATTATTTTGATGACTTTGTATTATTATTATATTATATATAAACACTTAATTATACTTTAAATATTAGTAAATAACAAAGACGAAGGACAATTTCCAAGGATAAAAAATAGTATATTTATTTTTTTATTTTTTCATTGTTAATAAATGAGCAAATTGTTTACAATAAAATTTGAAAATCATTAAATAAATTATTTTTTTGAAGTAAAAAATAAGAAAAAACCACATTTTTTTACTTATAAAAATCCTAAAAATAAATACCAATTTATTTCTAAAATAATGTTAGTTTAAAAATACAAAATTATTAATATAATAATTCAAAAACTAGAAATAAATTCTTTTTATTCCAAAAACAGTATAGACAACGGAATATAAAATATATCCTTTCGTCAATATCATTTAAATTATAAATAAACTATACTATGTAATAAAATATTGACATGAAAAATAGTGTCTTATGGTGACCACGTCGTAATGATTTTGATTCCAAAACAAAACAGACCCAAAAATGGAGTGTTAATTTCCAACAAATAAACCCTCAAATAGGTTCTCTTTTTCCCACATTTCCCGACAAAAATCTTACAGTAAAATAAATCCAAATAAGATTCAGCATGTCCAAGATATATTCAACTGAAAAGTGGTGACCAGAATGTGAAACTGAAAAAGGACTTGGTAAATGGCTTTTGATGGAGAGATACGAATTGCTGTAATGAACGACATTCACAATAGTATGGAGTTTATAGCTCGGTTTCTTCAATATTGGGCACTCAAGAAGATAGAAGTCGACTATTTGATAGTCTGTGGTGACATCTGTGATGTACGTGGTGTGGACCAATCCGATCCACAAATTGTCCAAGACAAGATCGACGTCGGTAAACGGATCATTGCGGAACTTGAAAAAGCGTGTCCGACTGTTCTTTATGTACCCGGCAATCATGACCCAACCACACTCTTTCATAATTCCATGACACACTCCGTACAACTTTCTGAGAACTCCGTTAACCTCCACAGGTGTGTCTATCACCTTGCCGAAAATCTGGTCGTCGTCGGTTGTGGAGGGTCAATCCCACAGTACGATAAACACATTTGTCACAAAGAAGGATACCCCTTTGAAAATGACGAACAGTTCAAAAAGCAGTTGGATGAGATCATGCCCGACGACGGTGAGATCCCAACAACTAAGATGACTGATTCAATCATAGTCGTGACTCATTGTGGACCAAGCTGCTCTCATACAGCTCTCAAATTCTCTCACAAAAAATCTATGCTTCAGACCGGCAGCCCCAGCCTCTCTTCAAAAGTCGAAAACTCAATTTATAGAAAACGACTCACCTGTGTATTACACGGACACACTCACAATTCTCGGGGACTTGTAAATCATGAGATGGTACCAATCATCAATGCAGGTTCTATTAAGTTTGTTTGAATAACTATCATTTTCTAGTATAACCTATAATATATATATTTAATTATAGTATATATATATTATACTATATATATATACTATATATATTATAATATTGTTTATAATATAATATTAACAAGTAGAGTTAACCAATACTTCGTTACCTTGTCTTTAAGAGAAATCAAAGGCAACTGGAAGATCACAGACACAAGCTTTCACTGTTTTGGGTATTTCTAATTTTTCATTTTTACATTCACTTCTGTTCATTGTCATTCCATCACACTTCAAGGGTATGGTATTACATATAACTATTCCTATAAATTTGGTTATAAAAAATAAACTATTTACAAAGAAAAACAAATTAAAGTGAAATCATTTAATGCACACACTTGATTTCTCCATCAACAAACTTCATAACAACATCAACTAAGTCTAATTTGTAACATTCATAGAAATCAACTTCGGGAAAATATGAGACGTTCTTGAAGAATTTACTCCCCGATGCATTCTTCACATCGTCGATCATTTCTTTGTATGTTTGTGGGGGCTTCTTGTCAAGGAATAGAGCCTCAAGATACATTCCAAAGAGCAAATCTTCTCGACAAGCTATTTCATCACCCGAAGCAACAAAAGTGACATGGCTCGGTTTCATCTTCTTGACATAGTCGATTGTAGCCTGACAGTTGTTTGGCGAACACATAAAGACATCTGTAACATTTGGGTTGTTAATACAGGCCACAAGTGATTGTGTCCCTTGCTGTGTGTTATGGACACAAACTTTCCCTTTAATCAGATCTTTGTTGTTTCTAGTCATGAGTAAACCGATTAAGTTTGACGATGACATTTAGATACATTTGATACGAGTAAAACACATTACGAACTCCACTCCATCTTCAACTACTTAAATATGTTATATTAAACATTTTCTATAAATAAAACTAAATTTATAGTTTAATATTATTGAAGTATTGGAAACAAACAACAACTCAGTGGGGGAGTTTCCAAAGTCAAATCCTTCATACTTCTTACCGCCTCTCTCCCCAATGAGAACAACTGTTGGGTCTTTTTTTTTCATTTCTAAAGTCGACTCAATGGAAGCCTGTGGAATTATAGTCTTGGCTTCACATAAGAAAAGGTGAGCTTCGACTGAAGACGCTCGAAGAACGTCAATTACAATGCAAACACCTTTGGCATTTTGATGTTGTTTGGGAGAAATGATGACTGATGTTGTTGGCTCCATTGACTTTTTTTAGTGGTAATTAAATCAAGATATTATAATAAAAAATATGTAAATAATAATAATATATTTATTATATTCATTAATTTCTGAATTAAGTTAATAAAAATATATCAGAATATTAATTAACTTTTTCTATTCATCATAAATATTTTAAATTATATTCAATTTATAATATTTATACTAATAATTTAATTATATTATAAAATATTGTTCTTATAGATAATTATTAATTTAATATTATATTATTTATAATAATATTTATTTTATTATTTGTTTTTAAAAATTTTAATTACAAAAGTTGTGAATAGAATAAGAAACATTTAAAATGGAAGAAACAAGTAATTATAATAAAACGAAATATAAACCATATTTCTTTCCACAAAAAAAAACACCAAAATCACACCTCAAGTATATTAACTTGTCAATGTACTGGTATCTGAGTCTTAAGTGAAGGGAAAACAATACTTCTTACCTTTGGGAGTGCTACCAACAAAGCCTGATTCATTCTATGTTCCAAAGTGTTATTACAAACTATTCTATCCCCCATAGAGGCAACAGTAACACCTCCAATGACTTTGTCCTCCAAAAAGAAAGTCTCGTCGACAGTGATATTGACTTTTGGGAACTTTTCCTTTGCGTCTTTGACTGCCTTTTTAACGACAGGGAGATCCTTTTGGAGACAATTGATTGTGACGTTGTTGTCTTCGACTTTTTTAACCCCTTGCATAACCAACTTGATCAATATATCGGCGTATTCCGTGTTTTGTGTCGATGCAACTAACTGGGCACGAACTACCTCGACAAGTTTTTGGATGTGTGCGTCTTCAGCTTTAAGTAACTGTAAGCGCGCAGCACTCATCTTTTGCGACCCTGCAATCCGCTTTTTGACGTCGGAGCGCTTGATCTGTTTCTCAAATTCCAAGTCGATTTTGTGCTGCTCTTTATCCATCGTCGCTTTTGTCTCGTCTGAGCTCTCTTTGTCCGCGGCTGATAAGATTTCTGACCGTTCAGTCTCAGACATCTCCTTGATGTAGTCTAATTGTTTACGTAGCTGTGCCTCTTTACGCTCTTGAGACATCCTCTTTAATTTTGCAGTTTTTCTCATGTGAACAGGAAAACCATATTCTAATAGTATGTAATCATAAATGTTACTTTTACAATTTTTGGGGAGGTTTCTGGTCTTCTCTCTTGGGATATTCTCGGCATTTAATACCTATTTGTAAAATTAATTCATTGTTACAAGAAAAACTAATTAAAAATAAGAAGTAAATAATAAAGGATAACCAAAAGTGTAATAAAAAAAAATAAAAACAAACAACTATTTTTTTTTAATGTCAAAAATAAAATATATTGTATACAAATTATTATTATATAGTATAACATATTTAATATATATATCTATTATTAAAATGTTATTAAAATGTTATTTATAACAACTTTTTCATCTAATTGTGTATATAATTAAAGAACCATTTAAAACCAATGAATCTGAAAAACAATACACAATGGACGAAACACTATCGTTATATGAGTTGAGTTGTGTAGCAAAACATTTTGACACCACTTCACAATTTGTGAACTTGATGAAAACATGCAAAAAGTACAGCGACATTTGTGACGTCTTTTTTGTGAATCCAATTCCTCTTGACGAACAGAATGAAAAACTTTTTAGACATTTGACTACACAACAGATCACAAGCGAAGATGCTTACATACCACCAAACAAGAAGAACACACTGTGGTTTAAGAAAACAAATTATAAAGTCGTTAAACCGTTTGAGAGTAATGACAATATAATGGAAGAGGTGACTTATCGTCGTGAGGATTATTTGTCTTTTGGTATAGAAGTTCCTCATTGTGTTAATACAATTGGCACCAAATGTTTTGAGAATTGTAATGGTCCGATGTTAGTGAATACCATAAGTGGCTCTGTCAAGAAAATTGATTTGTTTACTAAAGTTATCATCCCCGACTTAGTCAATACATTGGACTCGTTTGCATTCCACAACTGCACACAACTGACTGAAGTTTCACTTACACCATCAATCACAAAGATCGGAGAAAAGTGTTTTGAGAACTGTTGTATGCTCTCAAAGATAAGTGGAATTGAAGGGGAGAACAGTGCGCTTAGCCAATTAGGAAAAGGGTGCTTCAAAAATTGTGTGTCATTAGTTTCAATCGCGTTCCCACCAAAAGTCTCGATACTCCCTGAAAAGTGCTTTGACAACTGTAACTCCCTTGCAGAGATTACCGCATTCCCACAACTCATCGGACACCATTGCTTCAATAATTGCAACTCACTGAAAACGGTTTCGTTCTTTGGAATTGGAAGAACGAAAGAGAAGACTGTGGTGACTATCCAAATGATTGGGTATAAGGCATTTGCTGGATGTAGGAATCTTGTTGATGTCAGACTCAATTCCGCTATTGGAGAATTTGGAGTGAGATGCTTTGAAGGGTGTATAAGTCTAACTAATGTATCGCCTTTACCAAAAATCCGTGGGGCAGACTGTTTTAAAGACTGTAAACTTCTTAATTTGAAACTGGACGGTGGAGAGAATCAGGCGACTTCAATGGTGTAGGCCGAATAACAAAACACAAAGACAAACAATAATCAATGTCGGTATAACGTGGTTTATCAATTAGTACTTAAACTACTATTTAACTTATAATCTTATTTATCTTATTAATTAAAAAGTAAGCAAATTGTATTTATTTTTGAATAGAATTTGAAAGTGACTAGGAGATAGATGAGACAAAAATGCCGATATTTTGGTTTGTTCGAAGACATTTTAAAAATAACTTGACAAAAAATATAAATAGAATAGTTCAAAGCAAATGAAAAAAACATTTCTCTGTGGGACTTCAATGAATTATCGCTTGAAAAAACGTGTTCATTGAGGTTGGATTCAATTGAAATCAAAGAAAGTTTGACTCTATGGAATAAACAATTTAAGTTTGTACATTGCATGTTGTTATTGTTTTATTGTGAATAATAACAAACCATTTAAGAACTGTTTTATAATTTTGAACATCTTGGGAAAAAAACCGAGAAATTCGTTTAAAGAACATACACCTTAAAAGGGGGACATTCGAGAACATGATTGAAAACAGACAAAAGTAATTTTGAAGAAGTTATGTTAATAGTTAAACACATTGTTAATTAAAAGACATTTGAAATGTAAATTTGTTTTTAAAAATAAGTGAATGATGAACAAAAAATTTTTTTAATTGGGAGGAGTAAATCCAAATAATAAATAATAAATAAATATAATAAACTCTTATTGAATAACAAATGCAATTAACAAAACTTAATAAATTATATCAGTTTTAATAATAAATATTAAGTCAAAATATTATATTTTTACACTCGAACTGTGTTTTATTCATCTATAAATATTATTATTAATAATATATTTTTTAAATTATAAGTTAACAAACTACCAATTGAAGGATGTAAACTGTAAATGTTATCGTTAATGAGATCTGCCCGAACATATATAAAGAAAAACTAAGAAAAGAAAAGCAAGTAATGGGAGAAGAAGGAGAAGTACAAGCACTTGTCGTAGACAATGGATCTGGTATGTGCAAGGCCGGTTTTGCTGGTGATGACGCCCCACGAGCTGTCTTCCCATCAATTGTTGGCAGACCAAAACAAGTTTCAGTCATGGCTGGTATGGGCAACAAGGACACCTATGTTGGAGATGAAGCCCAATCAAAGAGAGGTATCTTGACTTTGAAATACCCAATTGAGCACGGTATTGTCAACAACTGGGACGATATGGAGAAGATCTGGCACCACACTTTCTACAACGAGCTCAGAATTGCACCAGAAGAGCACCCAGTCCTTTTGACTGAAGCCCCAATGAACCCAAAGGCTAACAGAGAAAAGATGACACAAATCATGTTCGAGACTTTCAACGTCCCAGCCATGTACGTTGGAATTCAAGCTGTCCTTTCATTGTATGCCTCTGGTAGAACAACTGGTATTGTCATGGATTCTGGTGATGGTGTCTCTCACTGCGTCCCAATCTATGAAGGTTTCTCACTCCCACACGCCATCCTCAGAATTGATCTTGCTGGTCGTGATCTCACTGACTACCTCATGAAGATCTTGACTGAAAGAGGTTATGCTTTCACCACAACTGCTGAAAGAGAAATTGTTAGAGACATCAAGGAGAAGCTCTGCTATGTCGCTCTTGACTTCAACGAAGAAATGCAAAAGGCTGCTTCATCATCAGAACTTGAGAAATCATACGAACTTCCAGATGGTCAAGTCATCACCATTGGAAACGAGAGATTCAGATGCCCAGAAGCACTCTTCCAGCCATCATTCCTTGGTATGGAAGCATCAGGTATTCACGAGACAACTTACAACTCAATCATGAAGTGCGATGTCGATATCAGAAAGGACTTGTACGGAAACATCGTCTTGTCTGGTGGAACCTCTATGTACCCAGGCATCAACGACAGACTTGAGAAGGAGATGGTTGCTCTTGCGCCACCAACAATGAAAATCAAGGTCATTGCACCACCAGAGAGAAAGTACTCTGTCTGGATCGGAGGCTCAATTCTTGCCTCATTGTCCACTTTCCAAAACATGTGGATCACCAAGGAAGAGTACGACGAGTCTGGCCCAGCCATCGTCCACAGAAAGTGCTTCTAATCTATTTTCATTTCCTATTCCTTTATTTTTACAAAATTATTATTAAAAATTAATTATAATCTAATACTTTTTGAAATGTTGTAAATTATAATATTTTTATTAAAATTAATTCATATTATGAAATAACTTAATTAAAAAATAAACATTATTTTAATTATAATTTGTAATTAGTTTTTATAATAAAAAAATTAATAAAATTACTATTATTATATTGTTATTATTATTTTTTTTTAGTTTTAAACAAAAATTATTTTATTGTTTTCAAAAATGATTTTAATTCAAAATTGATAAAACAATTGGAAATTTTTTATTTTAAAATCTTTAACCGTTTAATATTGCAATTTAATTAATTAATTTATAATATTATTATTATAAACTACTAATTTTTTTTTTTCAAATAATTACATGTTTATTCTATTAATTAATAGTTGATAAGTAATATTAATATAATAAAAATATTTGAATGAAAGACAAATCAAAAGTTACAAAAAGCTAACGCCCAACTACTTAATTCAATATTTCTATGAAAAGAACTAACTAATTGGTTTGTTGATCAATTTATATTTTATACTTTATTTAGTTAGTTTTCATATTATTATATTCTAATTTTTGTAAAAACTATGTTTATGACATTTTTAAATTAAAACAAAAAGTGTGAAAAACAAAGATTAGGTTTTATTATACGAAAAGAAAAAAAATACCAAAGATTTGGAATAGTGAGTAACTTTGGCCAAGTCTTATCTATTATTATAACTCATAATATTTTAATGATATAAATACTATATTTTTTAATTGGAATAACCTGGATACAAAAAGCATTTTTTAGCTTTTAAATGGCATTGACCACCACAGCCTCTTTTTTAAATAAAACCTTTTTTATTACCAAATTTCCATTATTATTATATATAAAACAATTATATTATATTATAATAGTAAAATAATTCCTATTGTAAAAACAGGGTAATTATGCCTAAAACTCCGCGAATTTAAACTCATATAACTTATTATTCTATTTTTAAAAAAATAACCGCGTAAAACCAAAAGACATTAAATAGGAAAAAAGAATTAAAAAGAAGACTACAAAAGGTCAGGTCAATAATAATGATTTAAAAAGTACTTTTTACTGTTTTTGAATCGTTGATTAATAGTATAGAAACTTAAAGAAAAAGTGAACAGTAAAACTGTTTTTATATTAGTCTAGTAGCAGGATGTATTTTTTGTTTCTTGTTGTCAGCGCGCTAGGGAGTGTGTGTGGCGACGGTGTATATTCTTCAACTGAAGAGTGTGAGGGTGTTGCCCACTGCACAAGCGAGTGTTTATGTGAAGATAATTATTTTTCCATTGCTGGTGTCAATCGGTGTATTCCAGAGTGTTCTATTAAAGGGTGTGCTGGTGAGTGTGTGAGTCCAAACGAATGTTTATATTGTGATGGAGAAGGTTACCAATCTTCTTGTGCGTCTTGTACTGATAATTACACGTCGAATGGGTATTTAGAATGTGTTCCCTTTGAATATTCCCAAATGAAGTTCTGTGCAGATCAAGCCCCACAATTCACTATTAATATACCAGATAATTACACACAAATAATTCAACATATCAATCCGTTCGATTGGGTTTTGTCTGAAACGGCTTGCTCTCCTTTGACTCGACTCACATCCCCCTTTCTCACAGGACAGTGGTTTAAACTTGATATGAATTATTCAGGGTTTATATCAATAGAAACTTCTGCCCAATATTCACAGAGCGACATTAATTACATTCGGTTGAATCAAGTGAAAACGGGAACAGACACAATCATTGCTGTTTTAAGAAATTGTCCGTCAGAACTTGGAGAAGTGTCCGACTGTGCTTATGAAAATGATGATGTTGATGATTATATTCTTGCAAGCAGTTTAACAATCCCAACTGAAAGAACATATTATTTATTTGTCCACTCGCCAGACCCCAAAAACACACAAAGCTTCGACTTGTTTATTAGACGTGTCATCCACCCATGTAGTAAATCTTCAGAGGAAATTTCGTGGAACAGAGTTGCGAAGGATGGATATTCATTTCGTATTAATACGGACAATTCAGTATATTCAGACTCGGCTTGTGTGAAACTCCA